CTGACACCAGTGCATATGTTCATAACCAAGTGATATGGGCATAAAAAGAAAACAAAGGTAGTTGAGAAGAACTGAATCTACTCTATAGAATGATCTAGATGGCATGGTAATTAAGAATGTGGGCTCTGGAGCCAGCTACCTGGGGATAAATGCCAGCTCTTGTGCTTGCTAGAGATGTGACTTTGGGCAGGTTATTTAACCTCAGAGTCTTCATCTATAAAATGGGCATATGGTAATAGCTACCTGTATTAGATTGCTAGGGCTGCCATAATACAATACTACACACTGAGTGGCTTAAACAAAGGAAATTAATTTTCTCATAGTTGTGGAGGCTAGACGTCCAAGACCAAGGTTTTGGCAAGTTTGGTTTCTTCTGAGCCTCTCCCCTCAGCTTGTCTGTGAACTTCACACTGTGTCCTCCATGGTTGTCCTCTGGTCTTTTTGTTGTTTGTATGCTAGTCTCCTCTTCTTAAAAGGACACCAGCAATATTAGATTAAGCCCACCCATATCACCTCATTTTAATTTAATTACCTCTTTAAAGACTTTTTCTCCAAATATAGTTGCATTCTGAGGTACCAGAAGTTAGGACTTCAATGTATGAATGGGGCAGGGTGAGATCTGATTCAGCTCATAACACTATATCATAGGTTTATTGTGAAGATTAAATGGATTAAATGAGACAATGCACACGTAAAGCAAAGATCAGGGGACCTAGGATGTTGTAAGAGGTTATTAACTGTTCAAGGTAACTAAACACTTAACTCAGGCATAAGGGTATTTGGCAAGTTACACATCTTTCTTCACTTGGACACTGGCTGGGAGTGCCCTGCGGGTTTCTCTTTTCAGCTAGGTGCCCGGGCCAGCATCATCCTAGCCTTACAATCTGTAGTCCCCGTCTTGATCCCATGAGTGTTCCCTTCTGGTCTGACCCCTCCTTAGGCTCAATGAGAAATTCTTCCTGTAAAGAGTTCTCAAACTTTTTTTTTTTTCTGTAACTCCTCCAAAGTTAGCCTTTAAAGTGAGGAGACATTCTGTCCCATACTTACAGCTCAGGAAATGCCTTTCCAATACTACTGCCATTTCTACTCTATCGGCAAGCCACTTATTAAATTTTAATTACATTTATTTACATTTATAAGGCCATTTTCATGGCCTTATAAAGCTCTTCATACATGGCATACAAAGCTCTTCCATCCATCATCTCTTATAATCCTTACAACATCTATGGGAAGGAAATAGTTTTTCTCCCTTTTTTAAATGAAGAAAACAAGGCTCTGAGGAGTAGCATCATCATCCTGGGTCACACAGTCAGTGGGAGAGTTGGGCCTCAATTTCTGGTCTTTTGGTTCCAATATGTTAGGAGTAGCTCACCTACTCAGGCATTCTTCTATAATATAAATAATCCAGTATACCAGCCCTGCTGTCTTTTGGGAGGTGGGTATAGGTAAGTTATTTAGGGCTATTTTGGTTGCAAGGGACAAAAACCCAACTCAAAGTGGCTTACACAAAAACTGAATTTATTGGCTCACCTAACAATACTTCAGAAGCAGTCTGGAGTCTTCAGACATGGGTGGGTCCAGGTGCTCAAACTATGTCGTCAGGACTGTTTCTCTCCATTTCTTAGCTTCCCTCTGTTTTCATTTTATTCTTAGAAAAATTCTCTGCCTGGGGAGTCAAAGATGGCCCCCAGTGGCTAAAGCTTACAATTCCTCCAGATCAACAAACTCCATAGAAAGAGAATACCTGTTGCTTGTAAACTGATGACCTGATACCAGTTTGAATCAATATCAATATCAATGATATTGCAACAAATGACCTGACATCATTCTGAATTATTTGGGTTGGCCTATGGGCCCAACTCCGGAACCAATTGCTGTGTCTAGAACAATGGAATATTTTCATTATCCAGGCCTGATCATTTTCCCCCTCTAGACAAGAGTATGGTGGCGGTGGCAGTGTGAGTTTCACCAAACCCAGGGACAGAGTGAGGGGGAATGGTGCTTCTTTAAAGAAAAAGTACTGATGTCAGAAGGGGTATGAGTGGTGGGGCAGGTCTCTACAAGGTGCCTCTGCTCTGCAGAGCTATAATAGAGAAACCAGTGAAGAACTGAGGGCCCATCTTAGCATGAATTCTGAGTTCTTGCCTTCAGAGAGAGTAGTAGTAAGCGGATTTCTGTGATTTTTTTTCCTGGACTGTCTAGGTGGGCTCAGCAGGACAGAGAAAAAGGCAGTAATTCATGGCAGAGTAAGGAGAAATGATGGAGCTTCTGGCTCCAGTAACTTGTTGAGAGTGGTACCCAAACATCCACAGAGAGACTGAATTCTTTTAAGATGATCACTTCCATGCTGTCTCCCTCCAGCACCTTCTATCTCCCTGTGAAGCTGTGAGTTGCAGGATGGCAGGAACCACATCTATTTTATACACCATCTTCTCCCAGAGCCTAGCATAATGCTGTGCAAGATATTGCAAGAACCTATCACATATTTACTGCATGGATAATGAATCAGGTTGATCAGTCTAATAGAAGCATCAATCTACTTCTTTGTACAAGTCAAGTCCCATCTTTAGCCTCTGTTCTCCAACTGCTAAGTGGGAGAAGGTGTAGAATGAGATTCTCTCCACAGCCCCTTGCAGCTCATGATTCCAGGATCTTAGGATTCTCAGGAGACAGCTAGGATGCCCTCTGCAAGGAACCAATGGAAAGCATCAAATTTATTGAGCACTCTGTGATCAGGTAAGATGACTTCACATAGATCTGAGTCCCCAAACTGTTGTGTCCATTTCATGGACCCATAATTTTTTTAAAATTTGGGATGGAAATAACACTGCTTATTTTTTAATTTTGCTAAGTAAGGACATTTAAAAAACTTCTATTAACTATCATTGCCATTAACTATAACCACCAATAAAAAAGGGAATTTTGATACTAAGAAAGCAGGAAGTACATAATCTCAGAAAAAAAGAACAATCTCTTTCCCCCTGGAAAAAAGACAGTTAGCAGCCTTATATAAGTATTTTCTGCGGAAAGATGTAAATTTCGTCGGCGTGACCTCTGTTTGGGGTCCAATATTTAGAACCCACTAAAGGTTTATTTTTCAACGTTTGCCTCCCCACTGTTGCCACCAACATATCTGTAAAGTTAGGCAGAATCTGCCCACCTTACAGATGGCAAAACCGGTTCAGCAAGCCCAAGTGCAAGGTCACAAAGATAGTACGTAACAGAGTTTGTCTGGGTGCCAACGCAGATCATCTTGGCAAATCCTAAACCAAAAGCTATTTTCCAACAGGAAAAGAAATGACCCACAATGGCTCCCTCGTAGTGTGGGTGTTCTCAGGCTTAATCCCCAACCTGGACTTCTTCCTGAACACATCGTAATGATGTGGCCACTTCATGCCAGGCACTGGGGAGAGTGCAGCGAGGGGAAACCAATACGTTCCCAGCCTCCTTCTCTCCTGTCCCCCATACTTACCCTGGGTCCCGTTCTCCAGGCCCAGCTCCTTGTCCTGGAGGCTAACACATTTCAACCGCAGTGGGCTGCTAAACAACTTAGTGGGTTTTCTCTCCCAGGGCTGTTGACAGTTTCCTAGGAGACTCTGGGAACCTTCAACGCCTCTAAGACCCAAAGGACTGGAAGCGTAACGGTGCAAGGAGAGGCACTGT